GGGGGGTTGTAAAATTTCCGAAATTCCTGCAACGTGACGGTTCACCCTGTCTGACTGACAGTAAGCTCAAGGGAAAAGGGTCACGTTTTCTGCCACTTTTGACACATGGGAAATATCTTAGGAGAAAGGCCTCATTAGTTTGTCATGATCGCAGACCGCTCACTAACATAAAACGATTACTTGTGTATCATCTAAAAAGTTGGACTTGATGGCGAGTAGTCACACTGGTTGGTCGACTAGTATGTAAGCCTGTCTGCGGAACCTACTGAACAAACACCGGAAAACTTTGCTTTTCGAGGGAATGTCGAAGGCGTGGCGTATCTTGGATAAATGAATCGCTGTTTATTTATTAATTCTACAGTCCACTGAAGCACTTCAGTTAGCTTAAATTCATCCTTTTGGTGAAAATTTCACTACCAACGCTAGTGAGTTTTGAACGGAAGTTGCGATACATGGCGCATCCAAACGTGACATACTTATCCAGGCATTGTAGGGGTACACCTCACTTGTGAGCCACCCTAGCAACAACACACCTCCATAGCTCAGGCTAACCGAAATTCGTCTAAAGTACTGTAAATACGAAATAGAATCGAACAAGGCAGCGCGACGCTATTTCGAGTATGTCCTCCCTAGTACGAGTCCACAGTTCTCGACGCTTCTTTAGAGCAACCATATACCTCCAAAATTGCGGGCGTGCTCATAATAACGTCGACTACGATCCAGGAGCCTTCGCAGTAGAGTTGGATCAGTGGCACGGGGTGCTGCTACCGCATGCAGAGATCCGGGTTCAAATCCTGATCAATCTTACCTAGGCACTTTTGCCTTCGGCGTGGTTTAACCAGTATAGGCCGAATGAGAAGAGGTTATTTAATCAAAATCAGATTTGTTTGGAAAGATAAAACACTGACTTACTCCACCATGTTTGAACTTGAAAATAATGGTGTAGACCGAACACACATTGAATTGCCTGAATTGCCTGAACTGCCTGTTTTGAAGGGAGGACGCAGTACATGGCGTATACCAGCGCGACCGGTCAACACTGAGCCATTAGATTTCGTTCTCGAAATTAAAATAGGTTCAACGATAAAGTCTGAGGTCGAAGAAGGGGAAGATTCATTTGAAAGGAAGGCGAATCTCTACGGTTGCAGTACGATGCGCGTCTTGCAGTGAAGGTTATGTCCCTAGCGGCTTACCGGGCCACACCCGCGCCGCTGCCCGCCCATCCCCTCGTCGTCTGATTCTAGCCGTTTAGCAGAGAGAGAGAGTTACCTGAAGAGGACAGTAACAAAGAGATCAACGCGAAATCATCGCCTAGGAAGGGATCTCATTTCCGGGTTCTGGACAACTTCTCATGAATTTCTTATCATCTTTGCACTATTAACCAGGTCTACCTTGATTTCTGATTCGCTGCCTTTTCATCGTAAACTGCACCTCCACGGTCCGACAAGGTTGCACAGCAGTTGGTTGCGCGGCGTTGCACTTCAGGTGGAACGACGTTATGCAGTGTAGTCCTACACTCACATGGGGTTGACTAATATCCGCATCATCAGAGGGATTAGAAA